AAGGAGCTAGGCACTCGTGCGGTGGCCCAAGCCACTCAAGCGAGCAGAATGTAAGATGCAAAGGAGGGCTGGCTGCTTAAGCGATGGCCCAGGCCACTCGAGTGGCCTCGGTTGAAATGTTGTTTGAAAAATGCTCTTCTTTTTAGACTTCCCTTTCTTCAAAACTTAACTTCATAACCATATATTTCAAAGCTCAAAATTCATAAAAACATGTTGAATTCACAATTTCTAACTTCAAACAAAATCATAAGTTCAAAACAAAGCTCAATTTCCATGTAATGATCAAGTTATTTGAGTTGACATATAAATTCTTTAAACTTGCATTCTTGTGCTTCAAATCCTCAAATCCCATGAAATTGCCCTTCAATTTTCAAAACCCATGCAAGAAATGATGTGTATGAACAAGAATAAAAGCATGCATGTCCATAATTTGAGCTAATTCTTCCAATTTAGTTTATCAAAGACTCCAAGAAATTATAAAAGCATGAACCAAGTGTTTCAAAATTCCAATTCCAAAAGTTATGAGAAAATCTTGTCAAAACCTTTAGAATTATACAAGAAAATATATGTATAAGCAACAATGTCATGAATTCATGCCATGCATGTTGAATTTGAGACCAAATTCCTTCAATTATTTTCTAAAGTAGCTTGCATGTTCTAATTTGTCAATTACAAAAACAAAACTCCTAATTAACCTTATATCTTAGAATATGATGAGTGTAGGAGTTTCAAGTTCAAGAAATTTGAATGAAATCTTACCTTAAGTTGATGAATTTTTGAAGAGCTTTCAATTTCTTCTTCTCCTAGAGCTCTCTAGGTTTTCTCTCTTTCCCTTCCCTCAAATCTTTGACTCCAATGACATGCACTACTTCTCTCCATGGCTCCTATATTTCTTTTATTTGCATAGATGAGTAGTCATATGCTTAGTCCTTTATTCCCTAAGTTCATGTTGTGCCTATATTAAATTAAGACTACTAATTCTTATTTATTAAAATTATGCCACTTGATGTTTTTCTTAAATAATCAAAAATCTAATTTAGTGCAAACTAAACTTAATCATACCAATGTGAATTAGGCTCTAATTGCCTGTCCAAATATTTAATTTTAATGTATATAAACTACTGAATCAGACAGGTTCATTTCATATCTATACATATCTGTTCGCAATAACAATACAATGCATACAACACATGGCACCATAATTAACACGTAATCACTTGTTCAACATTAAGCACATAATTAGCTTAATTAATCAAGCAGGTGGTTGTCACATTCTCTCCCCCTTAGGACTTTTGGTCCTCCAAACTCAATTACCTTCCTCCGAGAATAACATGGGATCAAGTGGAAAGAGGTTCGGATATCTTTTCTTCATATAATCTTCTCTTTCATTGGTGTCACCTTAATAAAAACATGATCGCCTACTTCATATTCTCTATCTTGCCTTCGAACATCCGCGTAACTTTTTTATCGACTTTGTGTGGTTTTCAATAATTGCTTAATTTGCTTCACTTTTTATGTTGTTTTTTGCACAATTTCGGGTCTGAGTAAAGGCCTTTCTCCAACTTCAGCCCAACAAATTGGTCATCAACATTTTCTGCTATATAATGCCTCGTACGGTGCCATGCCAATGCTTGAATGGAAATTGTTGTTGTAGGAAAATTCGGCTAAAGGTAAATGAGTTTCCCAATTTCCTTGAAAGTCTAGCACACACATACGCAACATATCCTCCAGAGTTTGGATTGTCCTTTCTGACTGGCTATTGGTCTGTAGATGATATGCACTACTCAATCTCAATTCAGTCCTCAATGCTTTTTGCAAACTTTGCGAAAATCTCGACCTAAATTTCGAGTCCCTATTAGAAACAATTGACACAGGCACTCCATGCAATGTCACAATCTCATTAATATAAATAGTAACTGTAGACACCCCACTTTTGATTGCTTGCAAGACTTGGCCACTTTGTCCCGCGCACTCGATGATGAAATTTACATTGTCAATGGTTCGAATTCTCAACAAAGGAATCTGATTTTTAGCTCTCGAACATTTCAACCTTCCATACCTAATCTATACCTCTATACCACAAAAATCCATGTTTTAGCACCATGCCAAGATGCACTAAGCCTGAACCAGAGAAACAGGGAAGCCACATTTAGGCCCGACCGTGCTTCATTTGGGGCCAGCCGTGGCCATTTGGGACCGACCATGCCTTTTTGGCGAGAAACACTATTTTGGGTAGGAATCAGCCAGCTGTCTATTTTTTAAGATATTTATGACTTATTTGGCTCAAATTCTATAAATACGAGCTGAAGCCTCAGTGTTGGGGGTTAGAAAAATTTCAAAAAAGCCAAAACACCTTTGAGAGCTTCTTCTTCCTTTGCAAGCTATCTTTGAGATATTATATCATCCTTGGTTCATATCTATACATTGCATACACCTTTACAGCTAAACCTCGAAACCTTGGTTGAGCCTTGAGAATCATAATTCAACCTTGAGAGTGTGCTAGAATCAAGTTTGGGTTACAACCAAAGCTTTATCTCTTCAAGAGGTATAAGTTTGTCACCTTTTTTCCTTGCTTTCATTACAATCTTTCTCTACCTATTTCTTGTGTTTTTGTGCTGTTTTGGATCCATTTCAAGTTTTGGAACTTAAGGTTGAATAGCTACCAAAGGTAGAGAGGCTTAACACCCTTTCTTGAAAATTATTTCATAGCTCATTCCCTTTGTTTTACCACTATTTTCCTTGGCTTACAAACTGATTTTCAGAGTTTGAAAAGGCTAAAAAATATGGTTTAGAGGTCCTAAAAGTTGAGGGGTTAGCCACCCCTCCTTAGATTTGCTTACTAGCTTTGGTATCTCCTTGTTTTGCTTATATTTTGTGCTCTCTCAAAAGATGTTTTAGCTACTATTTTTTCACATTTTGGGGATTTTTAATTCATTTAAATAGTTTATGCTTTGAATTTTATACTTGTTGTGTTGTAAGTCCTCACGGCTTTGGTTGTTTAGGCCTTAGACACCGAGTCATTCGGGTTGATGGCTTTTCTTTCACTTAGTTGTAATAATCAACTTCGTACATCATCTCTGCGCCCTCCCTCCGTTCTTGGTTTTCTTTGTTTAAGAGTTATTTCAAGCGATTGATTGTAATTCAAGGCATGAGAGAGACCTCCTATGCTCAATGGCTTGATCTCTTCGGAGGTTCATCGTCAAAGCATAGTCTCTCTTTCATGCTAAGAACTTCTTCTCGTTTGACATTTCTCTTCATTTAGTGGACTTTAATATCACTTTGGGACAAAAGGATTAAAGAATGGAAAGGTAAGTAAAAAAGGACTTAAAATCAATGAAATCGACATAAAGAAGATGAATAAAATTGGTTGGATTTGGCCAAACGTTATGCCGAGTCCATTGAGTCAAGAGTCATCATATGTTAATTCATGATATTTTGATGAATTTTGAGGCATGTCTACCTCCCTCTTTGAGCTAACTTCATGATAGGAAGGAGGGGCTGCTTGTCTTTCATTTGCATTTATTAACTTTTTGTCCTAACGTGCTCGAAATCATCAAGCAATCAAATTTCTATCATTGATGGTTTCAGAATCGAATCCGTTCTTCTCTTGAGTTCTCCCATGACGGAGAAGAGTAGAAGGGACAGATAGTGCTTAGAAAGGCTCTGTCTGTACTATTTTTACCTCAGAGCACAAAAATATTTTTTTGCATGAAAATAGGGCACGGCCGGTCTTGTTTGGACCCAACCGGGCCTCATTGGAGGCCGGCCGAGCTCCAATGTTTAGTAAACAGAGCACTTTTGGCAAAAACAGAGGGCAGTGGCTGAGGGTGAAACTTAGCAGTCTGGGCAAACAGAGCAGTTTCTGAACACTGTCTTCATCAACACGCATGCGATCTTTGTGAATTTTTATTGTTGTAATTGTTGTAATTTCATTGTTGTAATAAATTAGATAGTTAGTTAGCTATTGATTATTCATTCAGTATTGTAATAGTTAGTCTAATTCGAACACTCTGCCATTCGGACCCTCTTGCACGAGGGCAAAATATGTAATAATGGTGTATGTCTTTTAACACCCATTTCTTTCTCCTTTTTATTTACTCGCTTACAATCGTAGCATAGAGCATCATGTTTCCTCAGCATTTTCCATGATTCACATGCATCCGTCTTGCATGAATAAAGGTTCGGCTCATCATTCTAACCAATGTCAAATTCAAACGCTTTGCTTGAATACATGCTTTATCCCATGTCTTGAATTGAATCAAATGCCCAGCTATTCTTTTTATATTTCTTCTGGTAGTTCCATCTTGTGTGAGATAGGGTGGCTGACAACTAGGCAATGACCAAACTGGTAGCAAAGTAAGCCTTCAGTATTTTGTTCTTATTGTATAGTTTCTATCTCTCTATATCTATCAAAATAGACCCACTTTAAAGTGAAGAAAGATTAATCCAGTATTTAGAGCTAATTTGGAAAGCTAATTTGGAAAATTCACATAAATAAAAGAAAAGAAAAGAAAAAAATGGGTGAGGCTTGAGTCTACTTTCAATTAGAGTTTCTCCCCTATATTATTGATTTATTAGCGATGTGATTACTGTGTACTCATTTCATTTACGTCAATGATATTTCTTCTTAATTTGTTTTTTTTTCTAAATATAGTAAATGGTATTTGGATAGGAGTGTTAGACATGTTGAGAGGGTTGTTTGCCTGTTCTCGTCTACGTATTTTTGGTGGTATGTTTCTCTATTGCTAGGCTAGTGCTATTTTGTTGGTACTATTTATGTTTCTTTGTGCGTTTGTTTTTTCTTTTTACTTCCTTGTTTAAGTTGAGCTAAGGGATGTATTTCTTTGCACCCTTTTGCTAATTATCCTGCTTATTTTTTATCAATAAACAAGTGAAAAAAAAAAAAACACTAAGCTTTGCTAATTGCCAAACTCTAATAGACAAGCACCATTCTACAAAAGAGATAGAAAGGGAAGCACACAAACCCTAAAACTTAGTACTTTTTTTTTTATCAGCAAAAAGAAACTTTATTGATGAAGAAAGCAATACATACAAAAACTTACATCAACAAAGAGGGAAGTGCAAAAAGCAATACATGGATATGTACATGACATTGATATATGTAGTATTGTTATGATAGTTTCCAAGCTCTACCACCATGATTGCTGAATTTCTTAAGCCTTCCAAAGAACATAACAAGAATGAGGATGACTTTTCCCTTGTTACTCCACCTTCCAACAAATCCATACCATGACTCTTTACAGTAGATACCAAATTTCAATTGCCGCTTACAACTATAACCCATTGAGAACCCCACATTTCCATATGCACTACAAAATGATACATACAATTCTTGAGTGTTACCCTATGCATGAATGAATAAAATTGCAAGGCATTATATAAATAAAATGTTTCTAATAATTAATTACTTGCACATGCTGAAAAAAAAAAAAAAAAACAATAATAGGACCATCAATCACCATGGCAATGGTAACTAAACAAGTGTGCAAATTTTACCTTACTACTTCAAAGGTGATGTTTAAAACATTGAAGTTGAGAGGATCTTCCTTCATTTTTTGTCTCTCAGTAATACAAATGATAACGATGACGATGACTAAATAAGAGAGCTGTGAGAACAATATATAATCCGCAAACTTCTTTCGTTGTGTGCTCTTTTTCTCATTTGTTGATCCCTTTACACAATCATCAGCAAGGGAAAATGAAATATATGAAGGAAGATACCTATAAAACATAACACAATTGTTAAAGGTTTATATTGTACTTCATTTTAATTTACTATGTTGACATAAGTTGCTTAGAGTCTAAATCACTACACAATGGTGACAAGTTTGTTTTTTCGGCCGTGCTACGTAGCCCGAATGCACAGAGGCTCGACTGCCCCGAAAATTCAAACGATGTCGTTTGAATTTTTTTTTTTCCTTTTCTTCTTCCTTCAATCTCTTCTTCCTCCCCTCTCTTCTTCCTTCCCCCTCTCTGCTGTGCTGCTCTGGTGCTCACTCAAAACTCAACAAACAAACAAACAAACTCAAAAAAAATCAAAAATCAAACCCACAGCAACAACAACAGACAAACCCAAATCAAAAATCAAAACTCAAAAAAATCTCACAAATCACCAATTCTACACAAATCAAAAAAATCAAAATCAAAATAAATAAAAAAATGAGGAGAAGAGAGAAGAATAGAGAAAGAATGAGAGGAGGAAGAAGGAGGAGCTCTCTGTCGCCCATCGCCATTGCTCTGTGTGTATACACAAATCTGTGTATACACACACAGATCTCTCGTCGCCATCACGCCATCATGCCATTGCCGCCGTTGCTCTCCGTCGCCATCACGTCGTTGCTCTTCTCTCTTCCTCCCTCTTCTCTCTCTCTCTTCTCCATTCTCCTTTCTCCCTTCTCTCTTTTCTCTTCTCGCTGTTTAAGGAGAGGACAAAAAAAAAATTGAAAACGACGTCATTTTCAATTTCGGGGCAATCGAGCCATCATCTTTTCGAGCCCTCAAGCTTTATTCTTGTTTTCTTAAAGGTAATATTCTATACTCTATTATTAACAAATAAACGTTTTTTCTTTCTACTTGGCCAACAATTTTCCACCAATATTTTAATTATTTGTTTCACTGATAATTTGATTTGTTGTATTTTCTTTTGGGAATTTTTACTTTTTTATTTTTATTTATTTATTTGTTTTGTTTGGCTCCTTTACTGACATTGTTGAGGGTTGTTTTGTGTGAGTGATGCTTTTTCATTCCTGCCCTCTGCTTCTTGTGTATACCTTTTTCTACTGGTTCTGTCTTTTCTCAAGCTCCATAAGAGCATTCCCATCTCTTTTCTTATATTCCATTCTTACTCAAAATAAGAAGTTTTTTTTGTCAAAACACATCCCCAGCGGTTCCCCTATTCAACCCCCAAATATAAGTATTGCTACAGTGACTCCCTACAAATAGGGAGTCACTGTAGCTCTCTTATATCTGATAAATTTTGATTTTATTTTGTGAAGGATGTCCTCCCGGATGTCCCCTGGACATTCCCCGAATGTCTTGTGAGAGTCTTGGAACTAAAGAAGAAAAATGTCCAAAATTAGCTTGACCGGTTGACTGTCCGGTCGTCTGGCCGGTCGACTGCCTGGTCAATCACCCCTTTGCATTCCTCAACTAGTTCCTGCTATGTTGTTGTGCTGTTGCATTTGTGTTTTATTATTTTATTATTAAAAAATATTTAAATTTAAAAGTAATTAAAAATATTATTTTAATAGAATAGAGAAATAATAGGCAATTTGTTGGGAGAAGTAGATGAAAAAGTAATTCTTAAAATAGGGAATAAATTTTTTAATAATATTTTAAGGTAAAATTTAGATAATCTAATAAGCATACTCTAATAAAATTCTTCTCTGTCAATCAAAACCCAAAAATAATTAAATAAAATAAAATAAAATAGAATCAGATCCAAACTCTCCTTCTTTAATGAAGTAAGAGCTCTTGCCTCCCATTTTGTATGTAAAATAAAGCCAATCAAAATCTTTAAAGGGCTAATAGGCCATGACGTAACTCTCTAAAAGTGGGGTCAAAAGAATTAGGGCGGTGTTTGTTTGGACGTATTGGATAAGGGAGATTGTAATTCATCGAACTGTTAGTCTTGAGATACATTGTCTCCAGACTATTTAGTTGGACTGAATTTGTATCATATATTTGTTTAGTCATAGGATTAGATGTCTTGATTGAACTATTTTTAGTGAATCCAATATTTGGGTGGACGGATTGGATAATGATAAATGTTCAAAAGACTATTTTACCCTTGTAATTTATCATTTTTATTTAATATATAATTTTAAATTTATAATCTATAATTTATAATTTAACAACACTAAAAAAATTTAATTTATGAGGCTATAATTTTTAATTTATTATTTTTAATTAAATTTATATTTTATATTTTTTATTTTATATTTTTTATTTAATATATAATTTTAAATTAACAACACTAAAAAAATAATTTATAAATGTTCAAAAAACTATTTTACTCTTTTCCAATTGTTTATTAAGTAATAGCATGATGGTAAAATAGACATTTCACACATTAGTCCCATGGTATCCCATGGAAATAATCACACTTCTCCCCTAGGATACAATAATCCCTTATATGAGGGACTAATAATCCAGAAATACTATTAATTTGGAGCAAAAAAATTGAAACAAGTAATGAACTATTAGTCTGAATGGACTAGTAGTCCAATCCCATAAAATAATCTCTCAAAACAAACACACTTATGCACACTCGTGCAGCCATGCTTTCTTTTTTAAAAGGGAATATCAAAATCTTTCTAAATCAAGGATTAGCCTTGTTTAGCAAGTGGCTTTTTTAGTTAAAACGTTAAAAAGTAACTAAAAAATATATAAAAGCCAACAATCTATACCAAAAAGTCAAATATTCTCATTTCTCTTTACTTTTTGTATATATTTTCTTAAAAAATTAAAAAGTCATCCCAAACATACTAGTTTTTTTTTTACATCATATTTTAACCAAAAAGTTACTAAAAAAATCTGTTTCCAAACGAGGCTAAACACAAAGAAAAAAGGAAAAAAGAAAAATCAAAATAAAATCCACAAGCCAATTGAAATTTTACCTAATAAAATTAGTGCAAATTAATATTATTTTGCAAAAGATAATGATGCTATACAAATATAATATTAAAAAATACTTGAGGACCACAATTTTTGTGGTTCAAATGACTCGAAATTGTCAAAACGACGTCGTTTTGGCAATTTCGAAGTTGTTTTGCACTCAAAACGACGTCGTTTTGATAATTTCAAGCTATTTAAACCACAAAAATTATGGCCTCAACCATTGCTATATAATATTTTTACAGAATGATTCAACATTTTTTCATTTGAAACCAAATTATTCATTGTGGCTCACACTTCCAAAAGGTCTGTAGCACATCAATTTTATATTTTATATTTTTAAATTATGTTTGTGCATCGCTTTGCATTTAGAAATGAATAGTTGTGGAACAGCACCGCAGTTTTCAAGCTCGTGTAGGTCAAGGGCACTGATATGTATATTGTTCGAACACTAATATTCATTGATAATGATTAAATTAAGGAGTCCGGATCGGCTGTCGTGTTATCTGCGGGGCTTCGACGTCGTTTTAGACTTTTTTTTTTTTTTTTTTCTCTTTCTTCTTTCTTCATCTTTCCTTCTTCTTTTGCTGTTGACCCTCTTTTTCACTTCATCTCACAAGGAGCCAAAACATCACAGAGCTCGGCTCAAACTCTACCGCTCCATCTTTGTCGTACTGCAATTCTTTGGCTGCCGACTTCTCCATTGACGAAATCTTCAGTACACGACCTCCGCACCGCGTGCATCGATCACCTTAGATTTGAGATCGTATATATATATATATATATATGTGATATACATGGTGCATACAAATCAAAACCTCTCTCTCTTCCTCCACAGTTGTTTCGAAGTTGTTCAGGATGTTCGAACTTCCTCCGATCTGCTCCAATGGTCTCAGATCTGTTCCGATCGGCATCGCCGTGAAGAGATCGGCCTCCGACAAGTCTTCTCTTTCTTAGGCTCGTTTCTGTACTCCATTAATGAAGTCCCCAAAGTCTTCTCTTTTTTTGTTCTTTTTTTTTTTTTGGTTAAGGTTTACAGTGACTGGTTTTGATTAAAGGTCTGTGGTGTGTTTTGGCTCATTGTGAAGTGAAAGTGATGAAGTGAGAAAGGGAATGAACAGCAAAAGAAAAAACAAAAAAAAAGTAGTTCCAAAACGACATGGTTTTGATTCTTTCTTCTTTTGCTGTTGACCCATTTTTTCACTTCATCTCACAAGGAGCCACAACATCACAGAGCTCGGCTCAAACTCTACCCCTCCATCTTTGTCGTACTGCGATTCTGATCACCTTAGATTTGAGATCGTATATATGTATATATATATATGTGATATACATGGTGCATACAAATCAAAACCTCTCTCTCTCTTCCTCCACAGTTGTTTCGAAGTTGTTCAGGATGTTCGAACTTCCTCCGATCTGCTCCAATGGTCTCAGATCTGTTCCGATCGGCATCGCCGTGAAGAGATCGGCCTCCGACAAGTCTTCTCTTTCTTAGGCTCGTTTCTGTACTCCATTAATGAAGTCCCCAAAGTCTTCTCAATTAATCAAAACCATTTTCTCAGAACTGTTAAAAGTCTTCTCTTTTTTTGTTTTTTTTTTTTTTGGTTAAGGTTACAGTGACTGGTTTTGATTAAAGTTCTGTGGTGTGTTTTGGCTCGTTGTGAAGTGAAAGTGATGAAGTGGGAAAGAGGATGAACAGCAAAAGAAAAAAAAATAAAAAATTCGTTTTGGACCGCCGCACCGCCGCAGGAAGCGTCACAAATAACCACGGCATACGATCTGTACTCTAAATTAAGGGAGAAAAAAACCATATAGTTTCTAAAACATCAACTCCCAAATCAGGTTGGGTTGCCGTTGACTTACAACTCGTTTGGCAAGTGATAATTTTAGTTAAAAAATTAAAAGCTTATTAAAAATATAAAAAAGTCAACAATTTATAGTAAAAAATTAAAAATTTCATTTTCTCTCTATTTTTTATCTATTTTTTCGTAAAAAATTAAAAAATTATCTTAAATATATTATATTTTTTGCCTCATATTTTAACTAAAAAATTTAAAAATTACTAAAATAACATGATTTCAAACGAGGAAAAAGAGAGAGACTCACATCATTAGAATGAACACCACCAAGATTGCAGGAGAGATGTTAGAGAGATCGACAACAGATTCTCCAATATGCCTTGAATTCACAACTTCAAATAACGATCCCACAAGTTTTTGATAAGAATTTAGACCATTCATGGATTCTGCGTTCCACTCCAAGGTAGAAAATAATATGAATTGAACCAATATGAACCCAAAAGCAATGGCCACCAGCCACAAAGAATGCAAACCAGACAACAAATAATCATATCCAAGTTGCCTGTAGTTCTTTGACAAGTAACCGAATTCTTCCCTCATTGTGACTTTCTCTAGAACCCATATCAGAAATCGTAAGCATGGTGGATACAAGGTGTTTCCAAGGAGGACCTGAGCAATGAGAAGTAGGAGCATACCTGAATTCTTAACAAAAACCATCATGTTTTCATTTGTCGGGATGAAACCGCAACTTGATAATGTAGAGACGGTTGTGAACACAGAAAATGTTTGTATCTGAAGGCCTTTATTGCTGAGTATTTCTCTTGCACTTGGAACATGAATTATATAGATAGAAATCAAAGTAGAACCTCCTATATGAACTAGTAAGAGATAACAAAGCACCACATAACTCAAATACTTGATCGAGTTGTACTTCAGATGCTCGTTGCCTAAACCCAACTCGATGTGATTGAGATCATTTGGTGAGTGTAAAGAAACAGAATCAGTATTAACTGAATCCTCTATATTTTTTGTTCCACTTCTACTTCCACAATTTTTGGTGAGCTTGAACCTCATCACTTGAAGTCCAAGCATGGAGTTGAAAACTTCTCCACCCAATAACATCAAAATGGTAATAATAACAAGTTGGGTGTTGGAGAAAACCTCCATTTCTACTGTTGACATGCTAGAAACTGTGGTTGCAGACACAGAGGTGAAGAACAAGTCCAAGTCCTTAGGTCGAAACGAGGGTGCTGTTCTTGGCTTTGAAACCTTCAAAGCCAAGTAACCCATGAGAGAAAAAATGATAAAGTAATGAAGTTGAACCCAAAATGGGTTTAGACGAAAGATTAGGACATGAAAGTAGGAAGAAAATAAAGTGCAACATGAGTGGCAAAAGGAAGCCAATTTAGAGCATGAAGAGTTAAACGTGTGCTTTGTTTTCTTACTAAAATGAGCAAGGTCTTCCATCTTAACTTGATGATGGGTGAAATGGCTTGACCACACTTGAAGGGAGTGCTTGCTTTTAAAATGTCAAAAAGGATAATAATGTTAGGGGTCATGAAAAATATATTATGAAATTCATCACGAAGATTTTTCATCCCTTGATTAGTATGTGATTAGTGTGTGGTGTTTTATTGTATGAGTAATCTAAAGGTGAAAAATCTTTCATGATCATCTTCATGACATTTTTTTTCATGATGCCTAACATTACTCAAAAGGGATCTCCATCTCCATCCACCTCTCTAAATTAATGAGATTTCCATCTAATTGCATTGACATTGAGTTATCTAATCAATTCTCCCAGACAGCACAAGACATGAAAAGAATAAACAATGAACAGCTGTTTCACCTATAGGTTTTAAAGTATTTAATTACAACCAGAATATAATACTTTCTACACTTTGTGATAAAAAGAATCCCCTATTGATTAAATAAAATGATATTCCTCGCCCACTGCCTTGCCCAACTTGAAAGAATATTCATATAGTTTCGTTAGATATCTTTACTATAAAATTGAAGCAGATCGAATTTTAAGATTATTATTATAAGTTTTTCATGATTAATGATATTAGTGGTTTTCTCTGTTGCTTGTGTTCATCCCATACACGCCTTTCTACAACAGTTTGAATTGGAGCTTCCATGGTGCCAAAATGAGCACCATGTGGTCAATATACCGCTATAGATGAGATGTATACAGGACTCAGTTCAAGGCATACATAAGTCTAAACATGAACCTAAAATCACAAAAAATAAATGTGACGATAAAATATTCATATAGTTTCGTTAGATATCTTTACTATAAAATTGAAGCAGATCGAATTTTAAGATTATTATTATAAGTTTTTCATGATTAATGATATTAGTGGTTTTCTCTGTTGCTTGTGTTCATCCCATACACGCCTTTCTACAACAGTTTGAATTGGAGCTTCCATGGTGCCAAAATGAGCACCATGTGGTCGATATACCGCGATAGATGAGATGTATGAGCGAGATGATGTCACTACAAAAAATATCTGAAAAACGTCGCTAAATATCTGAAAAACGCTGCTAAAACCTATGGTGACGTTTTTATTATACGCCGCAGATACAGCCGTCGTTATATGTTTGTGACATTTAAAAAATGCCGTTGTAGACCTTATTGCGACGTTTTAGAAAACGTCATGCTACAATCACCGGCGGTGATTCCTTCCGGCGAGATGACGTCATACAGACCCTATAGCGGCATTTTTTACGAAAACGCCACTAAAAGCACTTTTTTTTCTTTTTTTGGGGGGGGGGAATGCAACCTAATGAAATTTTAACCATTCAGCAATAATATTTTATTTGCTACTAGCTAGAATTCTCCAAACCCTATTTCAAAAAATATATATATTCAACCAAACACATCAAAATTGAAATTACAAAAATCACAACCAAATTCATATATTCCATCATCATCTCAAAATTTAAAATACTAAGAAAAGAATAAATGTAACCAAAAAAAAAATGAAATTAGTAGCAAATAAAATATTATTATCATTTTATTATCATGAATACTCAAGAGAAAGTAACCCTTGTGTGTAAAAGCCAATACAACACATGTTATTATCATGGACCCATATAGTTTTAAGACAATACACCGAAAACCAACAGTGATAAAAAAATATTAAAAAAAAAGGTTAGTCAAGCAAATATCTCCATTTAATGCTCTCCAGACACGTAGTTGTTCCTTGAGAAATATGGACATTGGATTAGGTAGCTACAACAACTCAGAAATAAATAAATAAAAATAGATTAATCTAGTTGTTAAAATTTGGCTCTGAAATTTGTACAGTTGTTTTGCCGGTTTTGGATATATGCTCATGTTCTTCACTCTCAAATGAAAACCTGGGAGTCAAATTAAAGAAAAGAAAATCCATCAGAAAAAGCATAACAAATGCAAAGAAAACTCGCTAACACCACAAAACAATTATTTATCTTCTTCCAGAAAACCAGTAAAAAGTATCCCCAAAAAAATTGTCATTACCAAAAAATTATAGGGTTAATCACACCAATACCTCCTCAACTATTAAAGGATACCATCAGTTTACCTCCTTTATACCATGTCAACATTGACATGTAGTATCACCAACCAATAATAAAACTACATATGGGATAGTGAACCCCACTATTCAAATGTAACAACCCATTCCAACATAATTTTGTAACTACTGCATAGCGGGACTGATCATACTTACATGGTAATTTATAAAGTCGGTGATGGCATGCTATCACCATTGTAGTGAATTTTTTTCTTCCAAGAGAGGAATTTACACAATTTTATAGTTGAGGGGTTAGACTGTACCGGTTCATAGATGGGGGGAGTAAACCGATATTCGTTCAGTTGAGGGAGTCTTAGTGTAGCTAACCCTATTTTATAACCCGAAACAAATTAAGGTCAAATCATCATAAGATGGATCAGCCAAAGAAATCTCCACAACTTAAGTGAAAATTTCTTAAATTGATGCAAACTGGTAGACATACACAAAAGTCACCAGGACTTAACTGAAAAGCAAAAGCAACATTACCTGAATGTGTGAAAAAGCCTGAACAAGTTCACTCAATCCAACATTGAATCAGCACAGTAACTAACTGTATATTGTTCCTAAGAAACAATGGTAGCCTGGTATTCCAGAACCAAATGAGAAAGCTACACTTTCAAGGAAAAAGAATCAGAGAAATAGTTCTTAAAAGGGGTCCAACATACCATGCAACCACCAACTGCTATTGGAACATCTTAGAATATGCTTTTCTCTCCAGATCTCGTCTATCCGAAATCAGTCCCAATTCCAACAATTCAAACCCCAGTAGCTGATAAGCATTTAATGCCATAAAAAATGTTTTAGATTTTATGCAATCATACTAACCTTCTTCTTTGCAGCAGCCAGCTCCTTTTTTATTCCAGCTGAAAGATGCCAGAAACCAAGTCAGTTATCACGTTTCAAACCTCAATTCTATGAAAATTACGAACTCCAGACTATTAAGTATCTAGTTTAGTACTTGAAAACTGTCATTCAAATTTCAAAATGACTTTCAGTAAGACCTCAGCCATCTCCCAAAATAGATTAACAAAGCAACCACATAAATGGGGCAAATTTTATCCAGAGCACAGACCACAGCTTGGGGCTTTAAAATCTTGATTTTCGATCAAAATCTCCAAAAATAAAGTAAAATCAAATGCTAATGAAGGACTAGTTTTGCTTTTTGTGAAGAAGATAATCCGAAAACGGAAATCAAATTTTTAGTTGATGAAAAAATATGTGATTTTGATTAAGTTTGCATAAATGTGCTTGACATATCTTCACTTACCTTTTGGATGAGTTTGACCCGGCCAAACTCGATTGAGCTCTTCAATGGCGGTGTATAGACTGAAGCAGAGATCGAATGAGCTTGGAATTGGTCTACTTGAAGCAGAGATTGATAAGGCTGAGCTGTTGATGAAGGACACAGCACCACGCTTCAAGCCCCTGAACTAGTGTTCTGTGATACCGAGGCTATTGGATGCAACTCTCGATCGGCAGCAACATCTCTCTATCACCACTCCATTCTTTCCATTTGCTGGTGATCAAGAACTCCATCCCAATGCGTGGACCATAAAGAGGAAGAGAACGAAAGTTAGAAGAAAGAAGCAAAACACAAAAGGCAAAAGCAAAAAATGCTAGATTTCAACCAAATCGAGTGAAGAAGAAACTGAATTTACAAACATCAACGTAAATACATTCCGGATCATTACTTTTTAGCCATGAAACTACACAGATCTTTGGTGAATTCAACAAATCCCTTACCTTGAGCCATGCCGCACTCAAACACGAAGAAGAACGAGCCCTAGATCGATTTAAATTACAGAGATTCGAACAATAACTAAGGTAAACGCTCAAATCAAATACAGAACCAGCTTTTCAACATCAAAATGACGAAGAATCGATCCAGATCGAACCACCAAGTGCCGATCCCTCTCTCTCTCTCTGTCTCTCTCTGAAGTCGCCTCTCTCTCTCTCTCTCTTGGACTCCCACGACTCTTAAAAGAAAAAAAAGAAATTTAAAAGAAAAATAAATACTTTTATCTAAACTAAACTACACCGTTTTAACCATAACCCACGTTTCAAAAACGTTGTCCTACCATTTACCGATGACCGGCGTGTAGAAAACAAATTCGTGTGCTAGATTTTTCATATTTTACAGCGTTTTCAAAAACGCTACTAAATAAACATTGTTATATCCCCTTTTTCTTGTAGTGTGTTGCATGAGATACCCAATCAAATAATATTTGTCACACTCCAAATTCAGGCATGACCGGCCGTGGCCTACAGGACTCAGTTCAAGGCATACATAAGTCTAAACATGAACCCAAAATCACAAAGAATAAATGTGACGATAACCCAGAAATAAATAAATTAAAACTATCCAGTGACATGTCACAAGTATAAATGGTAAAACCAACCATAACCAACTTCTAACAATATATACTAAATGGAACACGAACCGCCCATAAAATAAAATAATTCTAAATAAAATCCAACCACAATATATGCACAAAACCGACATGACAAGCTAAAACAAAATAATGAATGTCCTAGAGGTCCATGCAATTAAGTCCCCGTTACGCCATGAGTCCACTCTAAGTTCTTTTAACACTGGGAAGTGATAAATAACTAAGTCAGCTGATAGCTTAGTAAGTAGCAACATGGATAGTAAATACAGTTTTGAAAACATGGTTCAATTCCAAAATAAGATATACATATATATCCTAGAAACTAGATTGGCACATATTTTTGATAAAGATAATCTGTTTCAAAAATAAGATTCCACAATTCAACAGTTAAAATACTCATGTTTCTCAAGAACATAATAAATGACATTCTCCACTTAAAACAAATTACAACGTGATTATTAAAAATTTTCTGGGTACCAAGAATAACAAGTAACACGCCACAAAGTTCTCAAGGCAATAAATCCGTTGGATCCAATATCAAACCAAGAGTCATCCTCGGGGT